TAATGCAGAAAAAAAATTCAATTCTCTTTTCTCTTGAATGCCTGGCTGTGAAAATAGTGTAAGATTTAGTAAGTAAATAAGAACTTATTACCCCTTTGTGATACCCCAAACCTTCATTAAGGTAGACCCAGGACTGTATAATGATAGGATCCGCTTTGGATTGCATTATTTATACTCTATATGGCTGCTTGGCTTTACTAACAAAAAAAAAGGAAAAAGGAAAAAAAAAGGAAAGGATTCTGCTGACCGAGTTTCCCCAGCCTAGTGATCCCCAGATGTACCGAGACTGTAATTCCCAGTCAGCATTTTTAAAAGTGACATGGATGCAACAGAAAACCATGATTAAATGTGGTCTGATCATTTTTTTTGCTGCTTGCAGACAGAGAGGAATGAAGCAGCTGCATCTGAATCATGATGTTTCAGATATAATAAGCTGGGATTTGATCATCTAAATCAAGCTATAATAATCAGAGCTTTGTACAATCAGTGAGCAATGAGTGGAGTCTGAGAGGGAAATCACATATTGTTCATTCATTTATGTTTAATTCCCCTCCCGCACAGTGGAAAGGATTGTATGGTTTACTAAACAAAAGTAATATGAAAGAGGACTGGTGCAGTTATAAATAATTGACAAGTTATACCTCTATAGAAGTCTAATTTTGTGAAAGAAAAATAGCTTAAAAAGAAGGCTTTGTTTCTAGAAAATACCTTTTTTTCATAGAGTCACCCCCAGGGCTGGCCCAAGGCATTTTACTGCCCAAGGTAAAGAATATTCTTCTCTTACTTAATGTGCAGAAATAGGACTATGTTTTATTTCAGCATCAGTGAAAGAACAGGATGTCACTACCACAAGCAACAGGCAAGCAATGGGCCATGTGGTGCTCACAACGTCAATATCAATAAATTCAATATCTAAGCAGGAGGACACATCTTTCCAGCCAGTTAGAATTAAACATTAATGTTATTTGTCTTTTTAAATGGCTAAATTTATAAGGGATGTTGCTCTCATTTCAGATCAGATCATTTTTTCTTTTAAAATTGTATAAAAATTTAAATAGGGAAATCTGGTGTATTGTTGGATCTCTTTAGACAATGATACCATTAAAAATATCCATTAAAATAAAAATTGACACCATTAATATTTATTTATCTAGCAAACATTGATAAAAGCAAACTTTGAAATGAGTTCTGCTATTTGTATAGAAAGCACAATTATTATACCACAAAATAATGGCAGATATATATCCTGAAGAGCAGAGAGTACAATTTATAAAGTTGATATATTTAAAAAGCTGCAATTTTATCTTTCTTGAAATTAGATGTAGCAGTTTTCTCTGTTCTAATGTCATCCCAATGTACGGGAACTAAAACTTATAAGTGATCTGGAAATTCCAGGAATTCTACTCCTAAAACAGCAGCAGGAATCAGAAAATTAACATATGATATAATATAAACTAACTGGAAATTACAGATGTGATAATTTACAGTAGGAATGGGAGCAAATACAATTTCAAAATATGGGTGCTTTCTCAGAAGAAACAGATTACATGATGCCTAAGAATGAAAATCTGCTTTAAATGTTCATTCCAGCCTAGCAAGCCCTCTACCACACCTTATTTATTTGATATGATATGATACATTATTTCAATTAAAAATGAAAAACTATCTTTAGGCATACTCTGCATTGCTAAAAGCAGAACATGTCTGGCTGCAGCTCAGCATTTAGTTTGCCTTTTGATATAAGAGTATTTTATGATTGCCCAAACCCAAACCTCACCATTTTGTGAGTGAGCCCACAAAATCATAAAATGTTCCTATTTTCCCAAAAGACAGGTTCCTGCAATTAACAGTATATTCAGAATTGTTCTATTTTGATAGATTCAGATGACCTCATTTTAATAATATAAATTTCAACTTGATTAAATTATATCACAATTAAAATATGAAGCACCATTCTAAATAATTGTAATTATGTAATTATAAATAATTATATGGCTATTACAAACAATAGTGAAACCACTATGCCATCAAGAACTATAACTGATAAGTCTCTCTTTTAATATTTAATCCATGTTGAACTTAAAAAAAATAATTTTACCTTCCATTGACTCAAACTGGATAAAAGTACCAATGACAAAAAAATACCCACCTATTTTAAGTTTGGTTGGGGAGGTAGTGGAATGAAGCAAAGGGAATAGATTAAAAAATGCACAGATTTCAGGATTCAGGGCTTTGAGCTGAAACAAGCACCAGACCTAAGAGGGAAGGAGGAGATTTCACTCCTGAACTGGCGTTCTTGATCTAAAAAAACAGGCAAGGAGATATGTGTACATGCATAGGTGTTCATATTTGTACTCTCTCTCTCTCTCTGTGTGTGTGTGTAGTCAATTGCTTCTCTGTATCAGTTGCGTTAAGCAGGTATATCTGATATTAGCAAGGTTATGGTAAACCTTTGGTATCATAGAGCTGGAAGAGGTCATTGAGGCCATAGGATCAACTGTTGCTCAATGCCTTCTTCACATCAAGTGGAGGAGTATTGGCCACCTCCTTTGGAATTTGGTTCCACATCAAGAAAATGCCTTTGTTGTTAAGAATCTTAACTTAAGGCCACTGTTGTACGACCTGCGCTTTGATGACAGAGAACAACAGCTTGTTGGCTTCATTCTGTATGTCACTCCTTCAGGTAATTATAAAATGCTATCTTCCTCAAATCTTTCAAGTTCTTTGCAAAACAATTTCCCTAGCTTGACTTTCATCCATCCAGGCAGTGTAGGACTGGGAGACTCAGGTCTTCTCCCACCCGCAATCATGAAAGCTTTAGGCCAGTCATTCTCTCTCCGCTCAATCTGTCTCATGCAGTTGTTCAGGCAATAAAATAAAGGAAGATCCACATACAAACAAATCACCTTATACTCCTTTAGGAAATATAAGATATTAATCTAAACACTGACTATAATAATAGTGCCACTGTTGGAGGGCAATTTTTTATCTTCTACAGACCTGGATTCAGGTTGCAGGTTATCTTGTACAAGATCCGTTAGAATCAGGTTCGCCTGAGATGAATAATATAGGTATTTGAAGTGCATGCCACAAGCTGCCCCCCATTAGTGCAAGATCACAATACACTACAAAAGAGAATGCAATGCTGATGCTTTTAACCAGACCAACAGACATAGACATAGACATGATGCTGATCAAGGAAAAATCAATTGCTGGCAATCCTTCGAATAAGCTTGCATCTATTTACATCATTTATTTTTTCTCATAGCATCTAATTATAAAACTGGAGTAAATGATTAACCCTACTGAAAAGGCTCTTAGATGCATCCATAGGGAAGACACATTACCTGCAAAAACAAAGTTCATTAGCTTTCCTATAATCTCCTTGGATATGGTATGCATTCATTGTACTAGTCCTAACTATGCATGGTATGTGGTGTTCATTCTACATTTCTACTAAAGGCTCAACTGAATTCCCAGAAGGAAAAGCAAAATGCTATAATGATTCACTAGGATACTGGCAATATCAGCATAACCACATGCTGACACAATTACTGAAAATCAGCTGCACTGGAATCTATACCCATGTTTATCATTAAGGTCTTGCCAAGATTTCGTGAAGTAAGAACATGGGTTTTGGCATATATCCTTGAATTTCTAATATGTTCATGGCATTTTGAAGGACAAGCTATATCTTAAGAGAGAAAATAATGTCATTTTATGAGCAAAGGGAAGGTTAAGAAAGCGGATTAGAGGCAGTCAAGCAGGCTATATTAAACAAATCCATGACTAACTGGGTGTAACAGCAAAGGATCTCATTCTGTTCAGCTGAATGGTTCCCTAGGGCTGGATCTATTACTTCTTTGAGCTTTTTATCACCTTGGAATTTTTATGGTTATTTTTTGATGAATTCCCATTTTTGTAAAAAAAAACAAAACCTTTTTCATTAAGTCAATTTTGTTCTTTAATTAAAGACATAAATAACTTTTATTCTGACTTTCATTATTCCTTGCATTTTTTTATTATTATACAAGAAAATATTTCAAAGAATGAAGCATGAAGTAAATGTCATTTTTAAGACTTCATTAAGTATACTATAACATTAATATTACACATTATAGCTTCCAAGATATTTTCACGCTCTTTTGATCACTAACATGAATCCTCTTTTCTTTTTGTTCAGCAAATATATTCTGAATGTCAGCTGAAAGATTAAAAGAATGCAAAAGCAAAACAAGAATGAAGTCACATTATCCTAAATAATTGAAGCTAAACTGAGTCTTCTATCCCATCCCATTTCATTCTTTGATGGACTGAGAGGCTACAGAATAGTAAAAAAAACTAACATGAGCCTGTAGGGAAAACAATATTCAATATATAGAGCAGAACCACATGTCTAAAGCAATAATAAATAACTTTTTAGACATAAGGGATGCATTGTTTTATAGTCATAAGAAAGAATTGGAAGCCAATGTTGAAGAGATTTGTTGCGGATTTCTTTTGAAATGAAATGGTATGATGGAATCTGATGTGGCAAAAACAATTGCTTAATTCATGGAGTCTGCCAATGTCTCTTCAAATATTGACTCAAAAATTATATAAAATGTATATCTTGAGGACAGATGAGTACAAAAATTATACATACAACAATGTATGTATTTGAGGAAATAGTATACAAGGTATTATTTATATATATAGACACACACATATACACACTTATGTACACACAGGGACATACACATATAGTAGAAAAAATTGTAAATGGACAATGGCAGATTTTGGGGGGTTTTAATTGTAAAATGATGCAAAAGTTTGCCACTTGCAACATGCTAACGCATGCAGGCTAGAAACTATTCTGCTAGAATGTAAGTTCTCTATTCATCATTATCAGTGTGCAAACGAAAACTGTTTCTGTTAATGGCTGTGTTATTACAGGTGCTTTTCATATGACTTTTAGAGCTGCACATGATTCACTTGGCAGAGAAGTCTATAAAGGTTACCTTTTTTCTGGCCTGCAAATCTTTAGAAGAATGGGCCTTTACATGTTTTCTTAGAGAACTTGGATCTGTGTATCGTTTGGTGCAGCCAGGAATCTGACAAGCATAAGGTTTCTAAAAAATGAAAAGAAATAACAAGTTACAAGGTTGCACATTTTGAAATGGCAATACTGCAAATATCATTCATAAAACCAAAAAAAGAAAGACCATGAAGATTCTGGCACAGAAAAAGATAGCTAGAATGAAAGAGAATGAACATTTTTAATTTTATATGTTATATTTCTAATGTTATATTTTAACAGTGAGAGACAGTATAACAACAAAAATATCCAGAAAAATATCCATTTCAAAAAAGTTATAAATTGATTTGCATTTTAATGAATGAAATAAGTATTTGACCCCTTCACAAAACATGACATAGCACTTGGTGGCAAAACCCTTGTTGGCAATCACAGAGGTCAGACGTTTCTTATAGTTGGCCACCAGGTTTGCATACATCTCAGGAGTGATTTTGTCCCACTCCTCTTTGCAAATCATCCCCAAGTCATTAAGGTTTTGAGGCTGACATTGGCTGCTTGAACCTTCAGCTCCCTCTACAAATTTTCTACGGGATTAAGGCCTGGAGACTGGCTAGGCCATTACAGGACCTTAATGTGCTTCTTCTTGAGCCATTCCTTTGTTGCCTTGGCCATGTGTTTTGGGTCATTGTCATGCTGAAATACCTATCCACGACCCATTTTCAATGCCCTGGCTGAGGGAAGGAATTTCTCACCAAGATTTGACGGTACATGGCCCCATCCATCATCCCTTTGCTGCTATGAAGTTGTCCTGTCCCCTTAGCAGAAAAACACCAAAGCATAATGTTTCCACCTCCATGTTTGACGGTGGGGATGGTGTTCTTGGGGTCACAGGCAGCGTTCCTCCTCCTAACACGGCAAGTTTAGTTAATGCCAAAGAGCTCAATTTTGGTCTCATCTGACCACAAGACTTTCACCCAGTTCTCCTCTGAATCACTCAGATATTCATTGGCAAACTTCAGATGGGCCTGTACGCGTGCTTTCTTGAGCAGGGGGACCTTGCGGGCACTGCAAGGAGTATTGTATTACCTTCAAGGCGTAGTGTATTACCAATTGTTTTCTTAGTAACTATAGTCCCAGCTGCCTTGAGATCACTGACAAGATCCTCCCATGTAATTCTGGGCTGATTCCTCACTGTTCTCATGATCATTGAAACTCCACAAGGTGAGATCTTGCATGGAGCCCCAGACGAAGGGAGATTGACAGTTATTTGGTGTTTCTTCCATTTGCAAATAATCGCACCAACTGTTGTCACCTTCTCACCAAGCTGCTTGGCAATAGTCTTGTAGCCCATTCCAACCTTGTGTAGGTCTACAATCTTGTCCCTAATATCCTTGGACAGCTCTTTGGTCTTGGCCATGGTGGAGAGTTTGGAATCTAATTGATTGATTGCCTCTGTGGATAAATGTCTTTTATACTTTAAGAGAGTGCTCCTAATCTCAGCTCATTACCTGTATAAAAGACATCTGGGAGCCAGAAATCTTGCTAATTGGTAGGGGATCAAATACTTATTTCACTCATTAAAATGCAAATTAATTTATAACTTTTTTGAAATGCGTTTTTCTGGGGTTTTTTGTTGTTATTCTGTCTCTCACTGTTAAAATAAACCTACCATTAAAATTATAGACTGATCATTTCTTTGTCAGTGGGCAAACGTACAAAATCAGCAGGGGATCAAATACTTTTTCCCCCTCATTGAAAACTCAATTCAAAACTTTTATTCATATATTCCTTCACTATGGAAAACCCATAGTCCTAACATTACACATGCTGATTCATCTCTTGGGACAAGAGTCTCCAAAAATGGATGCTCTAGCTATATGTGCAGCTAAATTCTGCACCAATTGAAAAATGTTCCAAATCCCATGGAAGATTTCATTGCTGCAGCTCCAGGTCCAAAGGTTTTATTCCTGATGATTTCCAGGAAGCCTACAGACTATGGGATCATTGAAAGTGCTTAACTTCTGAGCAATAGCAATAGCACTTACATATCACTTCATAGTGCTTTACAGACCTCTCTAAACAGGTTACAGAGTCAGCATATTGCCCCCAATAATTTGGGTTCTCATTTTACCGACTTCGGAAGGATGGAAGGATGAGTCAACCTTTAGCTGGTCAGCCTGCAATACTGCATTCTAACCACTATGCTACCATGGCTCATATAATCATGCTTGCATTTTGGGGAAATGGATGAGTAAAAATTTTGAGCCGGGTTATTATGTAGTATTTATATATAAACAAAGTTCAATATGGTTGAGTAAGGATAAACCTTCTACACGACCATGTACCAGTGGAATAAATATGCCATCAGTGAAAAAAGGCAGCGGCAGAAAGGACTTATTTTACATTCAGCAGGGTCTTTAGTTCTGATCAAAAAGTGGTTGTCAGAATGGTTATCTCATTGGTAACTGCCAACAGTGTGACTGAAATTTGACCTGTTTTATGGGAGTCGTGTGCAATGCATATAAAAGCCAGGTAGAGTTTCGATTGCACTGTGGCATCCATCATTTTAGCTTTTATAACCATACCCTGTGGACATGCATTTTACATATTGATCAAATAAATTCTCTGCCATCTCTACTTGTACTTACAATTATGCATCCCTCATATAAAACTTTAGTTTAGTCAGAAAATATATTTCTTTAGAAGTTGAGGTAAAGAAGTTGTAGTAAAGTCCCAGACATAGAGATACAGAGGAAACCTGCTTCAGAAAGAGAGAATGAAGGGGAAAGGTTAGTCTGGGATATGGCAGGTGAGAAGGAAAAGAAGCACAAATGCTACATGCTAAAGCTTAAATATCTTAAAAGTCATATAACAATTTTCCAGAAAGTATAAAAACTTTTTTTGAAATATCCATGCACTAATTAAAACATCATGGCTATGAACAATCTCTTTGGGGGGAAAATGAAAAAGTCAACATTTCTTATTTGTTTTTTAAGAACATACTCCATTTTAAGGTTTAATTTCTAAGAGTTGTTTCTATCGTCCCAATTGTCTTCATGGGTAACATTCCCTATATCCTTGGTTTATGATGTTGTTCAGGGTTTTTTTTCCCCTCTGGACCAGACCCTTCCTGTTGATTTTTAGGTCCGATGTATGTACTCACAGCGCATATATGCCTCATAACATAATATATAGAATACATTTTCTTCCTGTAATTGCAATTGATGGCATATCTATTTTCCTGAAAGGAAAATCAAAAAGCCCAGCTAAAGCCTAAAAAAACAGAAGCCTAAATCAAAGCCCAGCTAAACATATCTTCAACCTTTTCTTTTTTACTGCAACTTTCTAGTATTACTTTCACAAAGATATATTTATATAGCTTTTGCAAAAAAGCAGCACTAGCAAAATCACAGCCAGCTCTAATTTGGTCCATTCAGATAGCCAATGTTATGGTTCCCAAATGAAAATTTCAACACTAATGCAAATGTGCTCCCAGCTGTATATCTCATAGATACAGCATGAAGCAACATACTCAGATAAGTTTTGGCATGAAATATACACCTCAAGTAATAAGATTGAACCAAAAGAAGGGCTATGCTATAATTATTTGGTACATCTGAAATAATTTTGGGGATTTCAAAATCTAGCATACATATATAACTCTCATTGTTTCCCTATATACTCTTGTATTATAGAAATTCCCAAATATTTTGAGTATATATAAGAGCTGTATGAAATCATTCCAAGAACTGCTTTTGAAGTGTTGATGTGTTGTGACCTAATAAAGGTACTCTACAGTTGCATCATTTGAGCCAGTTTGGTCTAGCATTTAAGGAGCCAGCCTAGAAAGTGGGAGACTGTGAGTTCAAGTCCTGCCTTAGCCATGAAAGCCAGCTGGATGTCTTTGGGCCAGTCAATCTCTCACAGCCCAGTTCATCTCACAGGGTTGTTGTTGTGGGAAAAATAGAGAAAGATATGTTGAGTATGTTCACCACCTTGGGTTGTTTGTAAAAATAATACAAACAAACAAATAAATAAATATGTATGCTTAAAGGAAGATCCCTTGTTCAGGACTATTTCCATTTTGCTTCAGGAATAATCTCAACAGAACAGCCTTCTGCGCAGGCACATTTCCGTTCAAATGTCATTGGGAGTATCTTTGTGACAGCATCAGGCTACCTACAGGACACAGCGCTCAATGTTTCAAGGCGTTGGGTTCAGAAGGGTGCTTCTGTTGTTTTATGAACTACATGCCTGTAAATGCCCATCTATATTTTCCATCTATCTTTCCTCTAAACATAAGAGCATAATTTATTTTCTATAATAAAATAAGTTGGGGGGGGTTGTAGTCACCGTGAGTTTGTGATGAGGGAGGGCACAGAGGGAGGCTTAGCCAAATTTCACTGTATACATGTTATACTTTGATAATAAAGGGTTTATTATTATAGCAGGACCCATGGTCTTCAGTCTCAATTTTGCACCACCTCTGGCATGGTATGTATGAGAGGAAGCACTATGTCACATTTATTTATTTAATAACTATGCAGTAATATACTGTAGCCTCTGTTTCTGCATTCAGATCTACTCCTCTTTAAGCTTTCTGCATATCTCTTTAGGCAATTAAAACATGTCCTATGCGGGGCTTTGAAGCAGCCATGAACTTTTAGGAGTGAGTATCTGGATGTCCTAATGCAGTCTTTTTCACCTGGGGTTCCATATACTCAAGACTTCTGTGAGAAATTGTGAGGGGTTCTGCAAGAGATTGTGAAGAAAACCTTTTTTATGTTTAATGTATCATGAGCTGCAGATATTAATATTTTTAAGCAGGCATTTCCTGTGACCTGAAAATTATTTCAAGGGTTCCTCAAGGGGGGAGGGGAAGGTTGAGAAAGGCTACCTTAATGTGATATATGGAAAGCTTTGTTTATTGGCTGATGGATTTGTGAAAGAGAAATGGGTGAGCGAACTGGAGAACATTGCCCTATATCACAACAAAACTAATCTGCAACTTACAGTATCAAAATGCTGTATATAGTAGGCAGCCTGAGCCTCTTAGACTTATAAAAAGAAAGTTCTGTCACAATGATCTCTTTTCTTATAACAAGAACTGAATTTCAAAACAACCTGAATAACATGTGCAAACATCCTTCTACAGTGGTTCCATTGTTAAGTCCCCATTTCTATGCGCACTTAATAAACAATATGTCTGCAAGACATCAGTCAGGATAGCAAAATATTATCTAAAATCACATTCTTCCCTTACAGTGTCCAGGTGCGTCCTCTGGTGCTTGGCTCGGTCGCTGGAATTACTGAATGCTTTATGACAGCCTTGGTGCTGGCAAAGGTAAGGTTTTTCTCCAGTGTGGCTCCTTAAGTGAATCTTCAGATTTTCTAGTCTAGAAAAGGCCTTCTTGCAGCCTTCGAACTGGGAAACAAAATAATATTTCTAAGATTTGAAGGAAGGGAATTTTTTTCTCTTTTTTGCACACAAGCTGCCTACTGTA